TCTGCTTTGGAAAAAATGTTGATTGATACTAAAAACAAAAGCAAAACTTACTGTTCCATCCCTTTTTGTTCTTTCCTTCTTTGTTCTTGCCCTCTTTCTCACTGGTTGGGACACCACCCTCTGTGATTTTAGGAAAACTCAGAGGTACCACCATGATTTATTTGGATGTTTGGCTATCCGGCTGTTTTTGGATGCTGAAGAAGTTATTGAATGTGTTGACAGACTCTTGACTGTGCACTGAGGAAAACATTTAGAGCTGTTTGGCTTCAATTTTTTTCTTATCTGAGATAGAATTGGAATGTGTCATTTTTGATAAGGTAAGGTGTTGTTGCATGTGAGTGTGAGTGTGTGTGCTTGCATGCGTGCAAATGAATAGAAGCTCCAGCCTACTGTGCTTTTGAAAATCTGAAGGTAGGTGCCGCTCAATCCTTCAGCCCTGCATGACGCTGATGAATACACTGATTGGTGCACATGAAGACAGGCCAGACTGTGACAGGCTATTGTGCCTCTTTGATTGGGAGAGAGAAGACATGATGATGGCTGTCCCTGTTGTGTGTAGACCTGAATATTTTGGAATGTGCTCTTAAAAAAACTTTGATTAAGGACAAAGAATACAATCATTGGTTAGCCTTATTAGAATAATTGTATTTCTGTTATTTTATTTTACCATTACTTGATTGGTTAATAATTAGATAAAGTAATAAATAAGGCCTAATTCTCTGTAGCGGTGTGACTTTCTGCTTAGAGAAGCTTTAGAATTTCGCATTACTGCATGTTATTTGGGGCTTTCTAATACATATTTAAACCTTACTTCTTTAGATAAAGAAACACGTAATATTTATGTCAGTGCTAAAAACAACATTAGTGCTAAAACAAAACTGTAATTTTACGAACTCAACATCCGAACAGAATATGCACCAAAATGATTTTGTCATTGAAATAGAAGCGTCTTTAGCATGATCGCTGTTTCAGTGCCAGTCTGAAACTTTAAAATATGATTATTTTGAATGCACTCATGACAGTGTCCACTCAGCTGGGGCTCTGCTCGTACTTTCTTTAAGCATCCCGCTGCATCTTTCACAACTAGGGATGTCTGATATTATCGGCTAAAACGTCAGCCTAACCCTAAAACAAAAACAAAAATCTTCACCCAAGGCTTGCTTTTCTTATCTGAAGATCTTAATAAATGTTTTGTCATCATAGCTGCAATATACAGAAACAGAGCAAATACATTACTAACTAATAAACACATGTTAGTGTCACGCTCAGGGAGAATGGAGCTGGTGGAGACCAAATAAATATATAGCACTTTTCCTGATACTAAACAAAATTGAATAATTTGACATTTTGTAGAGACGATGTTTAAAGTGTAAGCATGCATGATAGGAGAAATGTGATGTTAGTGACCTAAAATGTTTCAGTTATTCCTTTTTTATGACAGGAGGACACAGCATTATTAGTTGGAACTCCTGTCTCTGCTCTGAACCGGTTGCAGGTTGTCCAAAATGCCACTGCTAGGTTTTTAACAAACACAAGTCGACATAGCCACATTACACCAGTCCTGAAACATTTCCAGTGGCTCCCCCTCACAGTTCGTGTGCGTTTTAAGATATTGATGTTTGCACAACCTAGCTCCTCCTTATCTGTCCAACCTGCCAACTCCCTACTTGTATGTTGAGATCAGCTGACCGTCTACTGCTTTGCATTACCGGATGTCCTACAAATCACGAGGTGAACGTACGTTTGTCCATGTTGCCCCCATGCTCTGGAACTCACTGCCCATTACAGTTAGGCTGGCATCCTCTCTGGCTGTTTTGAAATCTCTTTTAAAAACCTACTTTTATGACTTGGCTTTTAGACAGTGATTCATGTTATGGTATTATGATTTTATAGTTTTATTGTTGTGTTTTATCTTCTTATTATTTTTAATTTTGTTTTAATTGATCCTTAAGAATCGATAATATTGTTATATCAGATATATCAGTAATTAAGCCAATATCGAGCATCCCTAATCAACGCTGCGGATGCTCCTCCTTTCTCTCCTCGGCCTCTGATCAGTTTGGGGAGTAGACAAAGCAGTGGTGTGTGTTGGAAGATTTGTCTGACTTCATTTATGGGAGACTTGATATAGAGACCATTGACATCCATACATGTGTAATAGTACAAGGCCCAAGACCTGAGGCTGGAAGTTCAAGCTGAAGGTTGTTCCAGCACCATTTTTAGCCCCCCTACCACCCCAATGTAAACCAAGGGAACATTTTCCTGAATAGAAATGAAAAGCCATTACAGAAAGCTTTTTTCAAGGTTGAATAATGTAGAGTGACATAACTTTACTTTTTAATTTAGCAGTAATAAGTTATTTAAAGCTTAAGTAACAGCATGAGTGTGTGTGTGGGTGAGTAGGTGGGACTCAGCACCACATCATGAATGTGCAATTTCTAAAATTACAACTTGATAGTGTCTGTAAACAGGATCCTGGTTTCACTATTCTGCCTGGTTTCATCTTCTTACATATGCTCATCAGATATGAAAGAATTACTTTACACATTAGTGGTGAAAAGAATAACTTATGTAGTTAATATATTTCTTTTTTGGACTGAGTGGTCTACTATTCCCAAATTAGAAACGCTGGTACAGAAGAAAAGGACACAGTTGCAGTAACGTCAGCGGAAGAAGAGTTAGGGAGACGTGCACTCTCTACATACAAAGTTAAAAAGATTCATTTGATTTGTGCATGGCAGGGATTCAATTCCCAGCAGTGTTTAAGGATGTGTTCAGATCAATACTTACTACACTATTAACACCCAACCCTATCAAAATTATTCCTCATTGCATGTTTCTACCTTAAATTGTCTGCTACAAATCATCCAGGTGGCTGTGAAATTTTAATTGCTAAACCTGGCTCGTGCTTAGCATTTTAACTCACCTGCTTTGGAACGGACATGCATTAGCATATGCTCCCGGCGTTATTACACGGTGTATTCAGCGTATTTACGTGTAGTGGGGGTACCTCACTATCAGGTGTATTTTGGTAGTGATAGGCTAAACGTATAACTGTTTTCTGTAACCTTCTGATGCCTCTGTGCACATGAAAAAGCTGTGTGTGTTTGTGTGAGTGCACTGTTCTGCATACCGAGATGTAAAGGCTGTCAAATGGTGCAGATGAAGCCTAGCTTAGGTTAGTTCAGCGTAAAGAGGCTTTTTGAGAAGCCCGCAAAGCTGAAATGAGTTTCTTTGAGGGGGTGGACGGGGTGTCTTGAAAAGATATAGCGTGTGTGTGTGTGTGTGTGTGTGTGTGTGTGTGTGTGTGTGTGTGTGTGTGTGTGTGTGTGTGTGTGTGTGTGTGTGTGTGTGTGTGTGTGTGTGTGTGTGTGTGTGTGTGAGTGTGTTTGTGTGTGTGTGTGTGGGGGGGGGCAGAAAAAAAAATTGAGAAAAAGAGACAGAGCGAGTGAGAGTAGACCTCCGGAAATGAATGATAGAAGGAGGGTAGAGAGAAAGAGAACGCGGAGGAGAGATAAAGTGAGTCGTCTTCCCTCCTGTGATGTAGAGCGACTGCCTGTATCTGTAAAGCAACAGCAGTGCTCCCAGTCATTCTCCAAGGGACACCAGCCCTGATGGGGAGCTGTGGACCCCCCCCCCCCCCCCCCCCCATAAAACACAGTTATCATTCTCCTGGAAATGATACCCACAGATCACTAATCACTTTGAGTGGGTGAGACGCACCGATTGTGGTAGGAAGGAAGAAAGAAAAGAGGAAGCTAAATTGGATTTTCATAAGTATTGAGCAGCCAAAGGAAGAAGAGGAAATGGATAATTTTTTTCTTTCAATTTTTCCCCTTTTGGGGGGAAACTTATTGAAAAGCAATAATCTGGATGGAAAATGTGCTTAAAGCCAAGTAGCAGATTTAGCCTTTTTCTCTTCTCTCCGCTTGACCGTGAAGGGTCCTGGCTGAACCGATGATTCTGGATTGAATTTGTTGAATAGATGCTTGTAATATTTATACGTTCATTTAACTGAGGCTGAACGTCTATTTAATAATAGTTGTTTGTCAGCAAGTGCTCTCGATATCAATCCAAGAATCCATGCACTACCTCGACATGTGGTCA